GTGAGGAACAGCAGTATTTGAACACCCTGCGATTTTGCAAGTTCTCCCACTTAGAAATCATGGAGGGGTCTGAAATTCACATTGTAGGTGCATTCCCACTCAGACAGAATTTAAAAAAATAAATTCAGAAAATCACATTGTATGATTTTTAAAGAATTTATTTGTCTTGCACTGCTGAACACCTAAGAAACAGCAAGAATTCTGGCTCTCAAAGACCTGTTACTGTGCCTTTAAAAAGTCCACCTCTACTCCACTCATTAATCTAACTTAGTAGCACCTGTCTGAGCTCTTTAAAGACACCTGTCCACCCCACAGTCAGACGCCAACTACTACCATGGGCAAGACCAGAGAGCTGTCAAAAGACACCAGAGACAAAAAATTGTGGACCTCCACAAAGCTGACAAGGGCTACGGGGCAATTGCCAAGCAGCTTAGTGAAAATAGATCAACTGTTGGAGCAATTGTTAGAAAATGGAAGAGGCTAAAGACGACTGTCAGTCTCCCTCGGACTGGGGCTCCATGCAAGATCTCACCTTGTGGGGTATCACTGATGAGAAAGGTGAGGAATCAGCCCAGAATTACAAGGGAGGAGCTGGTCAATGACATGGAGAGCTGGGACCAGAGTTTCAAAAGTCACTGAAGGTAGAACACTACGCCGTCATGGCTTCAAATCATGCATTGCACGGAAGGTTCCCCTGCTCAAGTCATCCCATGTCCAGGCCCGTCTGAAGTTTGCCAATGACCATCTGGATGATCCAGAGGAAGCATGAGAGAAAGTCATGTGGTCAGATGAGACCAAAGTAGAACTTTTTGGTCTAAGCTTTACTCGTCGTGTTTGGAGGAAAAATAAGGACGAGTTGCATCCCAAGAACACCATCAGTGCTGTGAAGCATGGGGGTGGTAACATCATGCTTTGGGGGTGCTTTTCTGTGAAGGGGACAGGATGACTGCACTGTATTAAGGAGACAATGAATGGGGCCATTTATTGTGAGATTTTGAGCAACAACCTCCTTCCCTCAGTCAGAGCATTGTAGATGGGTCGTGGCTGGGTCTTCCAACATGACAACGACCCAACGCACACAGCCAGGATAACCAAGGAGTGGCTCCGTAAGAAGCATGTCAAGGTTCTGGAGTGGCCTAGTCAGTCTCCAGACCTAAATCAAATAGAACATCTTTGGAGGGAGCTGAAACTCCGTGTTGTTCAGAGACAGCCCCGAAACCTGACAGATCTAGAGGAGATCTGTGTGGAGGAGTGGGCCAAAATCCCTGTTGCAGTGTGTGCAAACCTGGTCAAGAACTACAGGAAACGTTTGACCTCTGTAATTGCAAACAAAGGCTTCTGTACCAAATATTAACACTGATTTTCTCAGGTGTTCAAATACTTATGTTCAGCAGTGCAAGGCAAATAAATTCTTTAAAAAAAATCATACATACAATGTGATTTCCTGAATTTGTTTTTTAAATTCTGTCTCTCAGAGTGGGAATGCACCTACAATGTGAATTTCAGACCCCTCCATGATTTCTAAGTTGGAGAACTTGCAAAATCGCAGGGTGTTCAAATACTTCTGTTCCTCACTGTATATATAATTATGTAATATGTTTGATTATTAAGTGTTCACAAGCACTGTGGAGTATTGTTTATATTACACCATCACTGTGTAGGTTTATAAGGGCACATTCAGTGGATTCAAGGATTATTTGACATAGAACTATCACAATGTAGATATACTTATATTGTATGCATTATGCGCTGCATTTTTTGTTGATTATTATTTTGATCTATGTGGGAACACATTGCATGCTAGCGGCATAATCAAAATTAGGAACCCATTGAGTTTTTTTTTCCACAACTTTGGACCTTTGTTTGAAAAGTTTGGAGACCCCTGCCCTAGAGAAACAATAAAATAATCTAGTGATGCTGCTGTTTGGACAGAGGAAACACAAAACATTGAGGCTTAGGGATATGCTGCTCTCTTTTTTTATTTATTTAATAATGATGGATGAAGCGTTTCCGGTTTCTAGAGCTGCATATTGTGGCAAACGCGGTGCCCGATCCCTGCCCTTCTCTCCAGCTCATGACAAAGGACTAGCCAAACTCACACTGCACTGTCACTTACGCAACAATGCCACGCTTAGCTGCACCCTGCACAAACATTTTCCAGCTTCCGGGACCACAATCTAGGTGCTGTAGCCTAAGAGCCATTGTCACTGGGTTAACTGGGTAACTAATTAACTCTTTAAGCTACCACCACCTTTTGACTGAGAAGGCGGAAACTCAATCTTCGTAATAAATATGAAAAATAAATGTTTGTACACACCGTCACCACAGACAGGTACAGTATATTCAGGGATTTGTCATATACAGTAGTGCTCTTCAAGAGACAGGGATTCTTTAGTTTAATTTTAAAGCCCTAGGGACCTTCGGAAGCGCTTAGAGCTCATATCTCTATGATTCTTAAGACGACCGATGATGTGCAGGAATCGCAAGCCTTTCGGCCCATTTTTCTTCTTAATGAAAACCTGAAGATATTGGGCAAGATCCTTAGTCTTTGTATCAATAAATATTTACGTAGTCTGGTCCACAGGGACCAAGTAGGTGTCATCCCTGGGAGGCAGGCGAGTGATAACGTTCGTAAGGTGGTCCATCTTATACACTTTCTACAACAGTGGAAAATCCCAGGATTCTTACTGTCCTTGGACATATATAAAGCCTTTAATTTTCTATCCTGGGAACATCTGCGGTTTGTGCTGTCTCATTGGGGTTTTGGGGATTCTATTCTCTCTTAGATTCAAGCCTTGAATTCTTCCCCCTTGGCTTCTGTTAAATAAGCTGGGTATTTTTCAGATCCCTTTCCTATTTGATAAGGGAAGAGACAGGGCTGCCCCAGCGCTCTGTCCTGGCGCTTGAGCCGCTGGCTTTAGTGCCCCGGGCCGATTGTAATGTAACGCGGGGGGGCAGGAGTTTAAGTTGAACCTTTTTGCGGACGATGCCCTCTTGACTATCACCAATCCCGACGACGCTTCCAAATTTGCAACAGGTTCCTGTGCGCTTTGCCTTGATTTCGGGTCTCTGTATTAATTTGGATAAGACTGTCCATCTCAATATTACTGTGACTTCAGATTTGGGTTCGTGCATACAAATGGGTTTCCTCTTCTCTTGAATACCTAGGCATTCGCTTGACCCCCACCTATGACTCGTTTGCTGCAAATTATTAACCATTGCTACGCTCTGTGTCCTCTCTTATGCACTCCTGGCAATTTCCGCACCTGTCTTGGATAGGACGGATTAATTCAGTAAAAATTTCTTGCCGAAATGGTTACGTATACTATTTTTGCACCTTCCCAGCGTGGGTTCCTCCCCATTTTCTTTGGTTGATTCAGGTGAAGATTACGAGTTTTATCTGGGCAAATAAGCACCCCCGAGTCTCCAGAAATACGCTTTTTGTTTATAGACTCCAGGGTGGTGTTGATGTACCTAATGTAACGAAGTATTATCAGGCGAGCCAGATTGCCCCGCTGTCTATGTTGCACGCTTCCTCCTCTGATGTTCCTCTCTGGGTCCTGCTGGAACTACCCAATTGTGCCCCTATTGCGACATCGACGCTTCTATGGCTTCCCCCTGTGACACTCAGTCCGATTTTGCTCCATGGTCTACAAGTGTGGGACTCGGTACGCTACTCTAGGGGCCTGATGTCACCTTTACTCCCAATTGTTAACAATCCACTTTTCCCACCAGGTTTAGATCAACCAAGGGCGTTTTCTTGGTGGGTGGCCAATGGTTTTTTCGCAGGTGCAACACTTTTTGACTTCTCCGTCCTTCCCGACCTGGAATTCTCTTCGGGAGTTGGGGATGTCCCTCCGGCGGAATTTTTTCATTACCTTCAAATTGGCTGACCTCACTGCGGGGAACTTCCGCTTTCCAGTATTGGAAATCTGCCTTTGAACCGCTTTGCCAACAGCATCCGGGCCTTATTTCCCTTCTTTATGCAGCTTTGAACAGACACTCGACGCATATGTCTCTCTCATATGTCGCTCAGTGGGAGCGCAACCTGGGGGCAGTCATGGATCTGGAGGACTGGAATAGGGCCTGGTCGTTTATAACTAAATGTTCCTTTAATACGACCACACTGGAGGCGGCATACAAAGTATTATTTCGCTGGTATTGGGTTCTGGCTCGTTTGGCCCAGGCAAACCCTGCCTGCAGTGATTCATGCTTTGGGAGTTGTGGCCATCGTGGTGATGTATTGCGTATCTGGTGGTCATGCCCAAGACTGGTTGGTTTTTGGTCTCGTGTGTTTGGCCTCCTTTTTACCTTGTTCCATCTTCCCATACGCCGGGATGCTCGGTACGCTTTGCTTCATTGTCCCGTACCTGGCCCCTTGGCTCACCATCAGAAGTTGGCTTCCGATTTGTTGTTGTCGGCCACTAGAACAATTGCTCAGGCATGGAAGCACCCGTTTGTCTCTCTTCAGGGGATGCGGGACCGTATGACCACTATGATGCTTAAACAGATGTTGAGTATTTGTAACGACTCCCAACTAAAATTCTTGAAAATATGGGAGCCGTGGTTGCAATATGCCCTTCCCATGCTCCCCCCCGGCTAGTTTGGGGTTGTGATGTTGCTCGGGCACTGGCGTTCCCAAACCCCTGCTCATGGTCTTGTCATCTTTTTCCTTTTGTACTCCTCCTTACTTTTCTATTTCTGTTTGTTTTTGGTGTGGCGGTGGATAGCTGCCTTTGGTTTGAGTTACTGTCGATGTTCTACAAATCTTTTGTGTGTGTGTGTTTTTGCATTTTCGGGTAGGGGCGTGATTACTCGCCGGCTACCCGGTGATCGCGGAGGATTACCGACAGAGGGAGAGAACTGTACGTAAATACAGTACTCTCCCCTTTCAGCTCCTGCACACTGCTTTGCATGGCTCTGCATAACAGAGCCATACAAAGCAGTGTGCTTACTGTTGAAAGCACACACGGAAACAGCACACAGTTAACCCTTTGATCGCCCCAGATGTTAAACCCTTCCTGCCCAGTGCCATTAGTACAGCGTCAGTGCTTTTTATTAGAACTGATCACTGTATTGGTGTCACTGGCGATGTCAGTGACACCAAGTCAGTTCCCCTCAGTGTCAGAACGCCAGCCGCAGTCTCTCTAAGTCGCTGATCACTGCCATTACTAGTAAAAATAAAATCCCAGTATCTATACCGCCATTTGTAAATGCTATAACTTTCACGTAAAAAACCAAATTAAATTTAATTTACAAAATTGGGATATTTGTTTTTTTTTTAAAGCAAAGACATGTAGCAGAATACATTCTGGCCTAAATTTGAGTTAAATTTTTTTTTTCTTTTACCGCGCATGTTTAATAGAAAAAAAAAAAAAAAAAAAAAAAAAAAAAAAAAAAAAAAAAAAAAAAGGGGAGACAGGTTATCAAATACAACCGAAAGAAAGCTCTATTTGTGGGAAAAAGTGGATGTAAATTTAATTTGGGTGCAGTGTTGCATGACCGCGCAATTGTCAAAGTAACGCAGTGCCGTAACGCAAAAAAAATGGTCTGGTCAGGAGGAGGGGGGGCAAGTGGATAAAGAGGAGTTGAAAATGAAGAATATTTGCAAAGTCCTTGGTTTTAGCAGAGTTCAATTGTTCAAGCAAGTGGCTCTCTCAAGTTAGATTGGCTGATGTTAAAACGAGAGCAGTCAGTGGGTCCTAACATTTCCTTTTTCTGTCATATCAAAGCAGTGTTGACAGAGACCATCTGACCAATTACCCGGTTTAAGGGGTGGTGGCTGGGAGGTCACCACGTTTATGACTGTATTGTAGCCCTACCTTACACACAGCTTAAACACAAGATCTTGACCAAGTGGTATAGGGTACCTACCAACCTGCACCGTATCTTTCCCTGGGTACCTAGAACGTGCAGGCAGTGTGGTGCTGAAAGTGGCTTGATGCTGCATTTTTTTTGGGACTGTCCGAAAATCAGGCCATTCTGCCATGAAGTGACTGGTGTCATCAAGCAACTGACCAATGTTGATTTAGCTGAGAACCCTGCGGCATGCCTGTTGTACCAATCGGAGGGTCCTATTAAGAAATATAAGGCCTCCCTCACTATTCAGCTGCTGAATGCGGCTAAGGCACGCACCCCTCTGTGCTGGAAGTCTGTGCATTCACCCTAGAAATCCCTTCGGTTCTCCAAAGCCAATGAAATTAGAGGCATGGAAGATCTCACGGCTACCCTTCACAACTTGGAGAATCTTAGCGACACATGGAAGCCCTGGCAATACTTTGTGTATACAGATGCCTATATGCTGGAGGTTTCACAACCTGGGTAATTTGGGGGGGGCTCTTGCTAGTGAGCACCAGGCGAGAGAGTCTGTCCTTATTACTCCTCCATTTTCTCTTTGCTGTTCTCCCACACTGCATAGGAGTACATTATGACATATTTACCTGTATACATAGCACTCCAGCACCGCGCTGTGATGGCTCCCCTGTGCCACCATCTTCACACGGTCTTCCTTCCGGGTTTGCAGGCTCCAGCCGTATGAATGGCCGGAGCTGCGATGACGACACTACCACACATGCGTGTGGGAGCCCTCAGCTGCAGTATGCCGTGCCATCCCTTCAGAGTGTATGGCGCCGGTTACACCACTGGCTGCACGCTGTGTGAATATCTCCTAAATAGTGCAAATTTAGTAGATAGTCACTGTACCTACAGGTAAGCCTCATCATATGCTTACCTGTAGTTACATGTTCCAAAATGGCTTTACTTCCACTAACACCAAGTTGTGTTGGTTTACCCCGGCACTTATTACTATATATGGTTGCATTTTTAGGGTCCGTACAGAAGAAAATAAGTATTTGATCCCCTGCTGATTTTGAATGTTTGCCCACTCACAAAGAAATGATCAGTCTAAATATCGAATGGTAGGTGTATTGTAACACTGAGACAGAATAGCAACAAAAAAATTCAAAAGCAATGCATGTCTAACAAATTATGCACCGATTTGCATGTTCATGAGGGAAATATGTATTTGATCCCCTATCATTCAGCGGGATTTCTGGCTATACAGGTAACAAGCTGAGATTAGATGCAGTCTAATAAAGGGAGTGCAGCTAATCTCATTTTGTTACCTGTATAAAAAGACACCTGTCCACAGGAGCAACCAGATTCCAAACTCTCCACCATGGCAAAGACCAAAGAGCTGTCCAAAGATGTCAGGGACAAGATCGTAGGCCTACACAAGACTGGACTACAAAAACTATCACCAAGCAGCTTGGTGAGAAGGTGACAACATTTGGTGCAATCATTCGCAAATGGAAGAAACACAAAACAACTGTCAGTCTCCCTAGGTCTGGTGCACCATGCAAGATCTCACCTCGTGGAGTGTCAATGATCATGAGAACAGTGAGGAATCATCCCAAAACTACACGTGAGGATCTTGTCAATGATCTGGGAGCTGGGACCACAGTCACCAAGAAAATAAAAGGTTACACTACGCCAACAAGGATTTAAAGCCTGGTCCCTCTGCTCAAGAAAGCACGTGCCCAGGCCAGACTGAAGTTTGCCACTCTACATCTGAATGATGCAGAGTGTTGTGGTCAGATGAGATCAAAATCGAGCTCTTTGACATCAACTTAACTCACCATGTTTGGAGGAGGAGGAATGCTGCCTATGACCCCAAGAACACCATCCCAACTGTCAAACATGGTGGTGGAAACATTGTGCTTTGGGGGTGTTTTTCTGCTAAGAGGACAGGACAACTGCACCGCATCAAAAGGGACGATGGACGGGGCAATGTACCTTCAAATCTTGAGAACCTTCTTCCCTCAGCCAGGGCATTGAAAATAGGTTGTGGATGGGTGTTCCAGTATGACAATGACAAAAGGCAACAAAGGAGTGGCTCAAGAAGAAACACAAAGGTCCTGGAGTGGCCTAGGCAGTCTCCAAACCTTAATCAGATTGAAAATCTGTGGAGGGAGCTGAAAGTTCAAGTTTCCAAACGTCAGCCACCAAACCTTAATGACTTGGAGAGGATCTGCCAAGAGGAGTGGGCCAAAATCCCTCCCGAGATATGTGAAAACCTGGTGGCCAACTACAGGAAACGTCTGACCTCTGTGATTGCCAACAAGGGACTTGCCACCAAGTACTAAGTCATGTTTTGTGAAGGAGATCAAATACTTATTTCCCTCATGAACATGCAAATCAGTGCATAATTTGTTAGACATGCATTTCTTTTGAATTTTGTGTTGCTATTCTGTCTCAGTGTTACAGTACACCTACCATTCAATTTTTAGACTGATCATTTCTTTGTGAGTGGGCAAACATTCAAAATCAGCAGGGGATCAAATACTTATTTCCTTCACTGTATGCATTTTGGAGGATTCCTCCTGATGCTGGCTTATGTGACTCCCAAGTCCTGATGAAAGTTGAACAGCTTGAAGTCTGCAGTAACCTGTACTCTCGTCTATTTATTGCTCCATGTACCATTTTGTTATGGACTTTGTTGCAAGATTTTCTGCATAACTCTATTACTTTATGTTTTTGAAACAGATTGTACAATGCAACTTTTTGATAAAGGAAGTACAGCATGCTCTTGAAACACCAAAGTGTGAACAGGGCTTCGGGGGGGTTATAATTTGTCAAGGTTCCCACCCAAATCTGTGTCTATTTGGAGAGATTCACCTTCACTTCCTGTCCCATAGCCAAAAAGGAAATCCCTCCAAACTGAGGGAATACCTGGTTGTCACCTGAACTAGTGTCCACATTGGAAGATTTCCCTTCACTTCCCGTCCCATAGCCAAACAGGAAGTGAGGAAGTCCCTCCAAACTGAGGGAATACCTGGTTGTCACCTGAACTAGTGTCCACATTGGAAGATTTCCCTTCCTGTCCCATAGACAAACAGGAAGTGAGGAAGTCCCTCCAAACTGACGGAATAACTGGTTGTCACCCGAACTAGTGTCCACATTGGAAAATTTCCCCTCTGTTCCTGTTCTGGGGACAACCAAAAATTCAGGATTTTCTTTCACTTTTGGCACAAATTCTAAACAGGACAAACAGAGAAGGTTATTCTCCCTAACAGAAGCCCAGACTGTAATAAAAACCTATTGGGGGGGGGGGGGGAAATCTAACCCCTCTCCACATTACCCAAAAATAAAAAGTTTCCCCTTTAATTACCTCCAAGCAGTTCCAGAACATTTCTGACTCCCTACAATGTGGACCTTTTCCCTGCTCTGGTAATCCGCATAGAGGAGCCCACAGTAGCTACACATGTGGGGTCATACCCGGTTGTTGCGCGGCAGTTCTGCGCACATAGTATCCACAACACTGGACATTTATTCACCAACCTGCCGCATCGCCGCTGCCATACATTGCCCTGACACCCGGAACCTCCACCGACACAGAATGGCGCCAACACTGTCAGCAGCCGGGACCTAGAAACCTCCCGCCTTCACACACTGGGCGGGGAAACCGTGCGGACCTCTGCGCCGATTGGAGAATTCCGAGACGTTCTCCTGTGCACAAATATGACAGAGCCTTGGAGTTCGCTTCTAGGCTACGATTGGATAATTCGCATCCGTGGGCGGGAAAAGATATTCGGTATGTGACTGGAAGGCTGTGTAGAACCGTGACGCGTACTCCGAGGGCGGCCCTGTACGGTCGCGGTTTGTGTGTAGCCTCGTCTCCTTGTGTTGTCTACCGTCTGGTGTGCTCCCTCTCTATGAGCAGTGTACGGTCAGGGTTTGCCTGTGCTCCTCTGTCAGTGTTGTGTCCGCTCACAGGCTCTCTCTGTATCTGAGGTAATCTGCTGACTGAACTCATTGAGCCGTCCGGTAAGCATCCATAAAAGCCTGTACAGCGCCACCGAGTGCCTGAGGTAGGGTTACACTGAGCCAGCCTAGCTCAACCAGGGTATCTTGAGGTTCCTATGGAAGAAAGGGCGCATCAGCCTATTGCATTACCTGAGTATAAAAACTAGAAACCCCAAAATATACGCAGACTGTTCTGTATCAAAAGCATCATACTCTCAGCCACCAGGTCAACTCCAAAACCTTGAGAAGGGCTCTGAGGAAGAGGGAACTGTCCTTGGAAACGTGTCAACCATCTGAGGGTCTTCTTGAGGTTTTAGGCCCCATGTACACCAGACACTAATGAACAATGGAAACTGCTGGAGGACGTAGGATAAAAAATATCTGTTTAGCTGCGTTTGCATAACGTGTTTATGTGCGCTTGCATTTAGAAGCGTTTTTTAAA